TGTAAGAATGAAGAGAGGGGTGCAAGGTGATGGTCGTATGGTAGGAAGGTTCGAGCGTGGTTCGCTCAAGACACCAAGTGGTGACAGGCAAGCTACAACAGGCCCATCCCGAAACTGCCGAGGGACACTGAGACGACACCAGGGACTGAGACGCATACGACGGAGAGGCCGGCGTACCCTGCTGCGTACCATAAACATCACACGATCGCTCTGTATCATGCATGTGGCTTCAGAAAAAGCTTTCTCGAGAGATCGCCATTTGGTTGCCACCACTTGGTGTCTTGAGCGAACCACGCTCGAACCTTCCTACCATACGACCATCACCTTGCACCCCTCTCTTCATTCTTACAATTACCTCTCAGCAGTAACACCAACCACTACAACAACAACAACAACAACCATGACGACCTCCAAGAAGACCCGCACCACCGGCGTGCCCAAGTTCCTCCGCCACCTCTACTCCATTCTCACCACCGAAGACCCCAGCATCATCTCGTGGTCGGCCGACGGCGCCGCCATCCAGCTCTACAGCGTCACGCGCCTCGAGAACGAGGTCCTCCCCAAGTACTTTAAACACAACAAACTCGCGAGCTTCCAGCGCCAGCTCAACTACTTTGGTTTCCGCAAGTGGCACGTGTGCACGTTCAGCCACCCCGAGTTCAACCGCAGCTCGACGCTCGAGACGACGCCGATTGCCCGCAAGCGCGAGGGCTCGCCGGCGTCGTCGCGGTCATCGTCGCCGTCCATGTCGCCACTGATGATAGTCGAGAGTCTCTCGGTGATGGAGCTGCCGTCGCTCGACCTCCTCGAGGACCTCTTTGGGTCGGATGCGACCAAGCTCGAGGACGAGGACATGAGCGTGGACGCGGCCGACTGGGCGGTATGCGCAGACCTGCTGGACGGCAGCGACAGCGACATGACGTGGCTGTCGACGCTCGCGCCACTCGACTTTAGCCTTGTCGTTTGAAGAGGACACGCGATGGACGGAAATTTTCGTATTTGTTTCGATGTAGTAATTGAATGGCCTTTTTGTGACAACTGAATTCGTGGGATTTCTTTCTTGCAGAGCTACATTACGTGTCGTATTCGCTGCAATAGCAACCGCTTCTGGTAAAGCGCCGCATTCGATATCGTTGACGTCGGTCGATACCGCTCTTGTATCTTGCCACGTGTAGCCAATCACCGTTGTGCCTTCGGTAACGTCCATCCAGCCATGACGTGGCAGTCTCTTGCACCATCATCATCCATTAAAAAAAAGAAACCAAGCGAGTCGAGTACTAGCTGTTTTAGACCGTGCCTTCGTGCACATCGTCGTCACTCTCGTGCTTCTCATCCTCGACGTCTTCGGCGGGCACAGCAAAGAACTCGGCTTCGATGCGGACAAGCGACGCGCGGTACGAGCGCGTCCGGCCTTGCTTGACCGAGAGCGGCGTGGCTTCGTGGATCGCAGCCTCCTGGAGCTCTTCCGAGTGGGCCCAGCGCGACCCGAGGATCGTGCAGAGCGCGGTCGCGCATGACGTGAGCGTGAGCGAGACGATCCAGAACGTGTAGCCGTACTTGGTGATAAACGAGCCCATGACGACGCCCGAGAGGCCGGTAGCAAAGTAACCCACCGCCGTAAAGAGGCCCGCGGCACTCGCCGCAATGTCCACGGGAAGGTCCGTCGGCACCGTATAACTGAGCAGCGTGTAGTTGCCGAGGAGGAAGACGCTGACGCAAAAGAGGATCGTCGCAAGCGCTTCGATCGAGACGGTCGGGCCAGAGACGTACAACGCGACAAAGAGAATGCCTTGCATGGCCGAGAAGAGCACGATCGGCGGCATGCGCTGGCCGCGGAAGATGTGGTCCGAGATCCAGCCGCAGAGGACACCGCCGACAAAGCCGCCGAGCGTCCACGCACCACCAAGGAGCGCATGGTCACTCGGTGATAACGGCGACGCGCGCACCGCATCAAAGTACGAGTACATCCAGTTGAGGAGACCGTCGCGGGCCCACGAGAGACAAAAGACCGCGCCGAGGTAGCCCCACACGGTCTTGTTTTGAAGAAGCCGCGCAAAGCCCGACTGGTTCTTCTGGCACATGGGCGGCGCGGGGACGTGAACCACGGTCGCATCGGTCGGCGGTGTGTTGCGGATGAAGAAGAGGATAAAGACGCTCATCGCAAGCATGATGCTGCTCGGAATGTAAAAGAGGTACGGCCAGCCGAGGTTCGAGACGATATAGTCGCCCGACCCGAGCGCGAGGTAGTACCCGCTCACAATCAAAATGTTGAAAATGCCTACAAAAATGTGTCAACATCCGTCTAAAATCCGTTCAAAATGGTCCCGCACCCGAGAAGAGGCCGCGTTCGCTCGGCGCATACCACATGGCGTTGATCTTGACGACCGCGCTCGTGCCAAAGCCTTGGAAGAGCACGTTGGCCGCGTAAAAGAACATAAACTCAAACTGCGTAAACGTGTTGCGTGAAAAAGCACCGCAAGCACCAAGTTGCAGAGGCCCGCCCCGACGCACGCAATGAGCATCCCTTGCTGGCCGCCGAGGCGGTCGGTGATCGCACCGGTCAGCGGCGCGCTGATGGCGTATGCCCACGACCCGGACGAAATGATCCTATAGAGTCGATAGCGCATGAGCACAGCCAATTTTGAGAGAGAGCTACCAGCCCATGTCGGTCGCAGTCATGTGCAGCTGCGAACGGATTGACTCGATGTTGCCAGCCGCAATCTATATTCGTGTCGTCAACCTCAAACTCCAGCAAGGAGGAGCAAGTGTACGTTGTAGCGCGCCATGTAAAAGGCAGCATAGGCGATACCGAGCGGGAACCAATTGGCGAGGCGGCGCCACCTATAAAGCAATCAGCCACGTGCACGTCACGACGCCATACCGAAAGCGGCGCGGGAAGAGGCGCTTGCTCGTCTGGTTGAACTCGACATCGAGGAGGGCACCGGCGATGACGAAGGCTGCGATGAGCACCGAGATGGCGGTGGCAATGGACATGGCGGCAAACTGCAAAGTGACCGCCAACTGCAAAGTGACCGCGGGTTCTTTTCAAAAACGTCCGCGGATGCACGAAAGCGCACCTACTTTTTGATTGACACGCAGAAAGCGCACCGATCTTTGGTGCGCTTTGAAGCTGCGACGGGGCGATCACCCGGGTTTACGTAGCAAAGACGGCGTGACTCACGATGCAGAACGGTCCGCTCCAATTCCGGACCCAGGTCCACTGACAATCCCACTCGTGCTCGGCGTTGCCGATTGGCCACGCGGATGGCCGTCGCGCGCGATGGACGTGGCGCGACGGCCGTGATTTCGCATGCAGGGCGTAGACAGGCAGCGCGGCTGCAGCAGAAACCACCCGCACAGATCATCGTCGGACGCTCCCAACGTGTTTGCCGCCTCCTGCCGTTGTTCTCGCCGGCCGACCATCGCCGACGAGGCTGTTGTTCCGATTAAGCTGGAAGCGCACTCGTGTGTGCGGTGTGGAGAGGAGGCAGTGCGTGCTGGCCAGGAGTGCTTGACGACGTCGCTGTGAAAGGACACGTCCTGCTCTCGCCGGCCCACCACGAGTGAGTGCACCAACAGACGTCTAGCACGCTAGAGTCTAGCGTGCTACACGTCCGTTGGTGCACTGTCTGCGGTCTAGCGGCTAGACCGCAGACTTCAATGTCCGAGTTTTCAGTGCTACAAGCTCGCAACAGCTCGCATCGTGCAGAGGTTTCTCGTGTGCAAATCGCTGCGAGCAAAATCCATTCGAGAGATGCCCGCGACACGGCTGGCGCAATCGACTACAGTGTACGGCAAGCGTACTACAGCGTGTATAATCCATGCAAGGAACCAGACGCGCGCGCGTACAAGGCTTCTCTACGAATTCTGGCAGAAAGCACGTTTTCCAAAGCATTGTTGGTCCACCATCAAGTTCAGATCGTACCGTTCTTTTTCAACGCGTTGGTAGGTGGTGCGAGCCACCTGGGCACCACCGGAGTCCGCTCGCCACTCGATCTCAATGCCCACCACTGGTGTTCTGGTTGCCTCTTTTATCGAACCGCCATCGTGTCTGTCGTCGCCTTCCCACGTGGCGTGGGGCAGCGAGCGACCTTGGTCGAAAAATGCAAAAAAAAACAGAAAAAAACAGCAAAAACAGCAAAAAAACAGCAAAAAAGCGGGCGTCCTTGCACGCTGGATACCCCGCCACTCTCGATACACCAACATCTTTGATCTTGTTCAGAAATTTGCTTCCATGGACATTACAAGGGCCAACGGTGGCAACCTCTTGGCTATGTAAGCAACATCTTGACGAAATCGTCGGCTCGCCCGAATTCGTTCAAGCAATACCAAGCTTAGTTGTCTCTCTACCTACCTACTAGTACTAGGTACTAGTATCGATACCACTCGAGATCCGCCTGCTTTTCAGGATACCGCGTAATTTAATTGAATGGTTTATTGCGAGATACAGCCAGCCAGTGCACGTGCAATAAAAATGTCGCCGGCCAATCAAAAGCGGCGAAAATGTTTCGACTGATCCAGCCTCGCATCACCGGAACACCTTGGACGAGCGAGCATGGCAACCTCTGGCCGCCTTCAAGTCCCGACCGACGCGTTCGCCGAGGCCGAGGTGGAGACCGAGCTCGTGCTCCAGACGTGGCGGTCCTATGCCATCTACCGCATCGAGGTGGCTTGCCCCATCACGCAGCGCTGGTGGACACTCGAGAAGCGCTTCTCGGACTTTCACCGCTTGCGGCACATGCTCGAGCAGTGGGCCAACAGCGCGACGCCGACCTCGGCCATGGCACGGCCGCTGCGACGGCTCCTCGACGTTCCGTTTCCAAAGCGCGAGTTGCACTGCACGCAGCCATCGGTCGTCGCCAAGCGCGCGCGCCTCCTCAAGCAATTTGCGTGGGCGCTCATGGTCTTCCGCGCCGAGTGCTGCATGTACGTGCTCGAGTGCGACCAAACACGCACTGCGCCGTCCGAGCGCTTTCTGCGTACGTACGGCCGCCTCGAAGGCTTTCTGGACATGCCCGAGAGTCTGCGCGAGATGCAATTCCAGCGCGCCGAGTGGCCCATGCTGTCGCACGACCCGTGCTCGATCTGCCTCGACGAGTTCCAACCCGGCGATCTCAAGGAGATTTGCTGCGTCGTCAAGCTCCCATGCACGCACTGCTTTCACCGCGAGTGCGTCCTCGATTGGCTCTCGGACATGCATTGCTGCCCGCTCTGTCGAGCCGCGACCGAGCGCGTCTCAGGCCTCTATTTATAATATATTTTGCTTGTCCGTCGTCGAGCGCAAAGGGTCCGAACCCAAAGCACGCGTTGGATTCCTGCGTGTGCTGTTGTCGTCGCAGGGGTGGTGCGGCAAGAGCAGGTCTTTTCGTGGCGACGCTCCCAGCGTATGCTTGCGCCAACGCATCTACAGTATTGTCCATCAATAAATGTACATTCTACGTACACTGCTACAATAGTACCTACACTGGAACACAACCTTTTTTCCAAGCTCGTACGAGTTGAGGTCTGCGGACGAGCCCGTGCGATGGCTACAGAAACAAGGCCAGCGCCCTCTTGGTCCAAATAAGACGATCCGATCTTATCTGGTCTATCCAGACTTGTCTGCTAGTTCATCCTGAGCACGGTTGAACGCCGTGTGTCTCATGCAATACTACACTATTCAGACATTGAGACGCACTAATCAACGAGGATCTCGACTAGTACACTGGTCCCTGCACCTGGATATTGCATTTGATATTGCCCTTTATATTGCACCTCTCAAACTTGAGCGCCCATGCATCCATGGCAATCAGTCGCGCATTCCTCCAACACGTTGGCGAGTACTACTTGCTGTTGTTGTTGTTTTCATTTGTATGTAGAATAGTGTACACACATCAATTCTATATGTCGCTCGCATGCCCTCGCTAAAGACGCCGGCAGCGCGTCGCGACGCTGTCGTTGTCGGCGCTTAAAGGGACGCACATCGAGCCGTCGTAGCACGCGCCGCGGTGGCACCTCGACCCTTCAAAGCCCGAGAGATCGCTGGGCACGGCGCAGATCTTCTCGGTGCATATCGCCGGCCACGCACAGAGGATGCCGGGTGCGTCGCAGGCCGACCCGCGCTCGACGTACGTCGAGCAGAGGCCGCGCGACGGTGCGCTCTCGTGGTAGCATAGACTGCCGTCATTGCACTTGCCATCAATGCACGGTAGCCCGAGCGAGCCATCGATCGCGGTCGGGCGCAGCGCAGTCACGGCCATGAGGAGGAGCCCAATCGTCGTCGTCCGGATCATGATGCAAATCAAAAAATAAAGATTTCGACGGCGTAACTCCTGGAGGGCTATTTCGAATGGTCGTTGGCCCTCAACTGCTTTGGTGGCCACTCGCTCGCAACGACTTGAAGGCCTATATCGAAACAGCCTTTGCAAGCCAATCTTCGCATGGACCCTTTGGCCGACGGGTGCATCCAGCGATATCTGCACACAAATTTACTGTACTACACTAGAACACTAGAGCGCCTACAAGGAATCGTCAAGCCGTAATTGCTTCTGCACAGGAGGGCGACCTGAGGTAGTACACGAAACGATGCCATATATATTGCAAAGATATATCTTCAAAACCCTTGCTCGATTAAAAGACATCCGGATAGAAACGTCCCGTACAAAACGCACCAATCCCGGTCATGCCTATCCGGATCGCCCGGCCAACCGCAGCTTCAACCGCTGGCACGAATGTTCGCGTAGTCCCTCGCTGCAGTGTCAAGCGATGTGATAGCGCTGGACGACGACGATAGATAATTACTTGCATTCAGACATCGAGACATTGGGACGTTGCGCCTGAGCCCCCCGCATTGTGCCACGTTGTCGAACGACACGGACGATGGAAGCGACTACAGGCATGGATTATGTTATCCATGGGTCGGACATCTACGCGAGCTTTCAACCAACGACGATTCCAAGTTGTTTATTAATACACTGGATTCGATATATATTGATGACACTACCGCGTTCTCGGAACTCCTTAACAAGCATAGGGGCGGCCAATCGAGCGCTAATCGACTAGCACGATGTTGTTTCGCTACTACACGCCATCGACGGTCGGTGGTTGACGCCGATCAGCTCTGTGGGCACCTGCAGAAAGCTCGATAGGTCGTGCATCAGCGCATTAGTGTCCTCGTTGGCTTGCGGTCCCAGCATCGTCAGCGCGCTGAGGACCGCATGGGCAAGGTGCACAAATGCAGACACGAGCTCGGCGCGCGTCGCCAAGCGCAACGCCAGACACGGCAGTGGCTCGACTGGAAACTGAAACTGGACGAGCAACAGGAGGTAGTACTCGACCGCGCTCTTGGATCCGAGCAGCGACGGCAACCACGCGTCCAGCGCCGTCTGAAAAGCCACACAGTCGCGGTACCGGGTCGTGAGCGTCCAGACACGCTTGGTGGCGTGCAGCTCGACAGCGTAGACGGTGCGAAAGGTGTGGCCACGGACACAGTACGTCACGGTTGACGCTGCCGTCGAGGACGTGGGTACGAGCACGAAGCTTGTCATCGCTTGGCAAATACAACACTGCGGGTGGCCGGGATCGATACATGTACTACGAGTCTATGAATCCAGGGGGCCGTCCCACTGTCGACGCCGTCCTTTCGGCACCTAACGCACCAGCCGTTCCCAGCGCGTTGATCGCTTGCGTGGGCATCGTTGCTTTTCTGTGGATGGTATAAAGCAAAAGGTGGGGATGGGCTGCAGTGCAACGCGTTTCTTCGCTGATAGAGTACTTATGAGTACTAATACTATATAAAAAGACGAGAAAGTAGCATCATTCGCCAGTTCTTGGTGAAGTGCCGACGAGTTCACGACCATAAAGCATAGTTTTGTGCCGCAACACAAATCACAGTGGCGACCGGAGCATACAGTAGCTAGGCATAAAATCATTGGTGGGGGGCTTCTGCTAAGAATCCAGTGCCATGGCAACCTCGAAACAGTCGACGAGACCACCAAGGATGATTACTCCCTTGATACCACCCACGAATGCAATGCTGACGTGTTTGAAAGAATCCAAACTCAAACTATCTTTCCTGCAAATTCAATCCTGAAGAGTATCCTTGCGTCGCGCCGTCCAAGAGATCCCATGTCGTCCACAACAACGGTACATGGAGGATGCTGGGATATCATCGCCATTATTATCACAACGTTTAGTAGCACTCAACTTGAAGACTCACGTTTATCCAATCAGCGATACCACGACCGCGCCAACGATCACGCAAACTCGTCTCTGCTCGCGTCCGTGGGCGATTCGAATCACAGGTCCGAGGCTGGCAGCCGCCCCGACGGCTTGACGAGGATACCTGCGAGCTTGGCTCGGACGCTGGCGCCACTGACGAGCGTCGCGCCTTCGTTCTCGAGCCGCTCCAGCGGGATGCTGGTGCACTCGGCCAATATCGCATTGGTCGACGCCATCGTTCTCTCCGGGTCGCACGATTTGATGACGTGTCGCAGCGTGTCCAAGCTCAGCATGCCCTTGCTGTCGGCTCCGGCTTGCTTCTCAGCCACGTGCACCGCCGTCTACACGAACATTTACAACTTTAAAGTCCAACATGAGAGAGGATCGAAGGCCGTACCAGTAGCATTTTTTTCATGTGTACAATTTCGTCCAGATGTTGGTGTCGAAGGCACTCGCAAAACGACGAGAGGTTGCCATGGCGGTCGGGCTCGAGTAGCGCTGCGTACGGGATGTAGAGGACGCCCTACGCAGAAACCATCACAATGCAAGTCGCCACCACCTCGAGGGGACCTTGGCTTCGAAAAGCAGCGCTTTGCAAAGCGCTGCAATCGCTGCTTCCGTTTTCCACGGGAAAAGGATGCGCAGTTCTCGCATCGCGCCGCCCACCGAGACGAGACTAGTCATGACACGCTCGTAATCAAGCCCTTTACCACAATGTTGTGTCGTGACATCACGACGCCTACCCCTTGCGTTTGTTGGCGACGACGCTTTCGGATTCGTTCTTTTCGAGCGTCGTGTACGCTTCGTGCACGATGTAGACAACTAGGATGGACAACATGTCCTTCGAGTATTTGAAAAAAATGAAGAAAAATGATACCTTGAAGCTGGTCCAAGCGCGTGGCCTCGGGCACGTCGCCGTGCAGCGTCATTTCAAACACACGGCACTCGCAACCATAGTTGTACTGCTTGAGTGCTTCACAAATGTTGTATGCGCCTATTATGGAATGTATCAATGTATCAATGTGTCGACACAACGTATGGAGCACTGTACTTTCGACCGCGTCGGCGCGGTGCGGAATTTCTTGGCCAAATATGCGGCGAAAAACTGCCGCAGCGGCACCAACGTCGCTGGCCCCTGCGTCATGAGAAAGCTGGCGTGGCGCCTCCCGGCGTCGGGGCCCCACGCTTGCGGCCAGGCCCGAGCATACTACTGTGCAAGTTGAGCTTTTCGGAAATGTCCTTTTGTTGCCAAATATCTCTAATAGATGTCACATTGTAAAATATCCCACACACACTCGAATCACGTACGTAATCCAGCGCTCGACGTCCCGGCGCGAGTAAAAGAGGTTGCGGACGCGACCGTCGAATTGCAGGTACTCGGGCACGGACGCATCAAAGCCATGCCCGATGAAGAACTCGCCGCTGTCTGTCACGGTCGGTGATTGCTCGTCGGGCTCGTCACTGTGCGCTTGCGTCACAAACACGGACGATGGGATGGTTGTTGCTGCTGGCGGCGCCGATGGCGTGCGCAAGAGGTGCGTGGACAACCCTACCCCTCGTGTCAACCCTAGCCCCACATCGGTCCTGTACCGGCGACGAAGCCATCGACGGTCGTGGGGACACCCGAGGCGAAGATATCTGTGGTGGAAAGCCCCTGCGCGGACATGCCGGCGAGAATTCGGTGCAGAACGTCCGATTCGGCGGGTGGTACAGGGTGCGCCACCTACAAACCGCTATCGTTTTACTCAATTTTGCAGTCGAAAACCTGTTTTTCCAACGTCATTTTGGCGTGGAGGAGCTCTTGGAGCTCGCGCGTCAAGTGGTTGATTGTCGCCTTGTCGGCATTGGCGTCAATGCCACCGGCACGCTCTTCCAGCGTCAAGATCGAGCTCCGGAGCTCGTTGATTTCTTCTTGCGCGCGCGTGTACTTGGTCGTCACCCCTTGGAGCACGCCGTGGAGTTCGCTCAACTGGAGAAATGTGGACGATATTGTCATGTTCACGAGGTTGACTACCTGCGAGTCGTGCTGTTTTTGGCGCTCGTCCTGACGCTTCATTGAGTGCAAGAGCATCTGGTTGGTGGCCATGACGTCAGCGACACGCTTGAACTGCTCTTGCAGATCGCTTAGAAGCTTGGTGCGGCCATCTTCAAGGCTCGCATTGGCGGCCGCATACGACTAGCATGCGGTTACAAACGCGCAACATATGGACGCGAGTGTGTACGGTCAGCATGGCTTGGGTCGACTTGAGTTGCTTCTTGAGGGCCTTGACTAATAGATCGATACCCTGTAGTTTCCATCTTCTTGTTTGCACAAAAGTGTCTACCTTTCATCTTGTTGATGAGGTTGCGCTCGCTAATCACATGCTGGGCTTCTTGCTCCATCGTGCGGATCGTGGCTTCGTACTGCGGAATTTTGCTCACCTACTCTTTATCCAATGGAAACACACCAACCTTCGTCGGTCTACCTTGAGCGTGTAAATGTCCAAAAGAGCTTCGTACTCGGCCTTGATGCGTAGCAAAAGCGGCTGGTATGTCTTAAAGTCTTCGATCAAGAGGAGAAAGCACTCTCGAAACACTTGCAAGCGCGCCAAGTGCATCTGTGCGCGGCCTTCGTCGTCAACCTCGCGGTCGCCGTGCTCGGTGGCGCCCACAATACTCAGTTCGGCAGCCAAGAAGGCTTCGAGTTGTTGTAGAAGCAGAGGTTTCGCCGGAGTTCTCTCGGGTCGCATGCCCTTGCGATTGTTGCTGCCAAGCACGTCCTAGAAACATGGTCCCATCTGAGAAATAAGAAAGTGAGTCAACGTACCTCTTCCTTGCGAACGCGCGCGCCGAGGGGCCAGCACTCGATGTTCGGCGCTGCGCAGTCGCCCCGAGCAAAGTCGGCGGCCGTCAAAAGACCCATGTCCCGGTAGCTACTACTCGTTTGTGAGACTTGATGTTGTCGTACTCGAAGGGTTGTACTTGCGGTGGTCGGGCCGCGCCTTCTCGTGAGGCTTTAGAAAGTACAGGGGCTGCTGGATGAAACTCGCGCGCTTGGACGGTGTGCGGGGCTTGTGGCTTTTGGGCGGCGTCGGCATGACCGGGTGCAGAACACCACTTTCGATCGGCGGCAGCGACGAGCTTGGCGCTTCGTTGAAAGCTGGCGTCGACCGTTTGTACTTGGAGAGGATGTCGGCAATGTCCATGTATCGGTGCCACCAACGCGGCGCGGCGTTTGTAGCTGAAACGCTTTGGCTTTTTTAAACGAGAACGCACGAGTGTTTTTTATGCGCATGTATACGAGCCATGTCATACTCAGTAGGAACATATTGGTTGCGGAGGCTCCGAGCTCCACACGGCAAGCGTAGCTACGTGAATAAACTGCAACCCGTCTTTTTACAAGAACCTAGTACTCGAGAACACTAAGAGAAAGAACCGCGACGATGACGAACGACTCGATTGTCATAATTTGTTGGATTGGTTGCATCGAGTCGGTGGTCTCCTGCGCAAGCTGGAGCAAGTGGTCTCGGCTCCGATTGAGCATCGTCGTCCCATATGTTTCAACGGGAGATCGCCGACGAGAAAGCGGGAGCAGTTGCAGTATTCTCGACCAGACGTGGACACAGAGTTGCTATCGTATGGATGCAGCTCATGTACAATTTACTCGTACGACTTTGTGTTGCCGGATGGGATAGAAAGGTACAGCCTCACACAAGCTCTCAAAAATGTTGATAAACAGCTTTCTGTGTACGAACTTTTGAGTTACCAGACGGACATCCAGAACCCGCTGACGCACAAGACGGGCAGACAAAGAGCAATGTTGCGACGCTGGTGTTCGCGAACGCACTACGAAAAACTTAACTGTACAAGCCCGAGTGCAGGGACCTACTAGCAGCACATACCACGGCCCATCATGTCCTGTGAGATCCTCGTCCAGCAACTCGAAATGGAGTTGCTGGACTCGAAGCAATCCTGTGGCATCTAATCCTGCGCAAGAATATGAGCCAGCGTCGCTGTATGCAGCAAGGGAGTAGGGCGTACGCAGCAGCAGAGGTCTTACTTCAAACAGTACGAAGTTGTTGTGATGAAAGGCACGATGTCCCCGCATCTCATGGAGCACCGCGTCGTAGTTGTCCATGGTAAACGTGTACTTTGCGAGCAGTCGGCGCATCTCGCTCTCCAAGACAATGCCCTTTACGCCGACCCATTTCTGCAGAGTGTAGTACTTCCAAATAGGGCACATGCATGGGACGTTGGCGCCACGCCCGCCCTACGTCGTCGGTGGAAACGATATAGAAAGCGCATTGTGGCCGTACATGCGCCCACGAGCCGAGGCCACGTACGCATCAAAGGCGTCGACAAGCTCCAGCAAACACGTGTGCGCGATCGGGGCTGGCGTCGCCACCGCGACAAAGCGCACTCCGTTCTTGACCACGTGGCTCGCATGTTCACCGCTCAGTTGTGAGGCGATAGTCCGACAGTAATACTGGGTGTCGTCGACACATTTGCAGCCTACGGAATCGTCATGGGCCGATGACGCGCAGCGGCGCAGGGTCTACAAAATGGGTCGTTGGAGATATGCCGTGACAGCAAAAAGGGTCGACGTACCAGCGACTTGACACGCGCTGTGCTGTTGTTGCTTGGTGCGGTCGCCTGCCGCCATCGAATGAGGCAACTAAGCTGTCGTTCACGAGATTATTGCAGCATGGACGCACCAGCACGGGACCGTCGCACAGGGCCATGTCAGTTTAAGAGTGCTATCGATACTGGCGACAACGTTCCCTCCGTCTCGAATGATTGTCTTGGTGTAAAGACGAGGGCGTATTGTTGGACTGCTCGCCATTGGAGCGAAGGCGTGGACGGCGAATGACGTGGCAGTGTGAGAGTGGAGGGTGCTATGGTCTGGAAATGTCATAAGCGGCCGTTGAGGTTGAGAAATGTTGTTGATGTCGGTCGTGAGTCGCTTTGGTCGACTACTTGTTACAAACCGACGACAAGCGGGTCGTAGACATAGACACAACATCCAGGCTCGTTGTTGTTGTTGAAGTGGGTCGTCTGCTACATGAGATCAAACTATGCTAAAAAAATTGTCGGACTTTCTTTGTTGTGTGTACTCGGTTGAGAAACTTGATCTAGGCAGGCGGAGGCAGGAGCGCGATCCGCGGGACAAGGTGCTGGCGCGGCCACTCGTGTTGGGCGAGGAGTCGGAGAAGCCGACGAAGAGCAGGCTGCTCAGGCTCTCGTACGAGGCTGTGGTGCACTTGCAGTTGAGCGACACGCGCCACCTTGACGGCGATCGTCCATGGACTTGGCAGCGGTAGGTCGGCGCGAAAGACGCAATCGTTCCGGACTCGCCAGACGCTACATCCACAAAGTAAAATCATTTTTCTCGTTATGGAACGCGGGATGCAAATTTCGCTGTGCGGATCACGGCAATAGTGTCCACAGTAATCCCATCACAAGTAGAACGACGACAAGTGCGATGAGGCGGCGATACTTGCGCAACTACACCATACGCGATGGTCTCGGGCATTCCATAGCTACAGTCATACCCAGCGCTTCCAGGCGACGTGCGATGGCTCGTCCCAATCGTAGTCTGGTACGAGCAGTGGCTGGATCACAAGTTCATCTACTTAAATCTCTCATCGGGTCACCTCTTCTCGTCGCAAACGACTTGTACCGTTGATGGCCCGAACAGCGTCACGGATCGCCGGTAAATGCAGCGTCACGGATCGTCGGTAAATGCAGCGTCAGGTGCAGCTCCAAGAGCATACTCGAGTCCAACGCCAGGTTCGCTTCGTATTTTTCGTGGAGTCGATGCATCTCGGGCTCTAGCAACAGTACACCAAGTAATAATCAAAAAACAACAGTGTGTCGATGCTATCTCTTCACCAAAAGCAGCGCACGCGATAGGTGTCAACGTCGTCGCAGTCCTACAACCCTCTGCATCAACACGATGAACCTTGCGTAGGAAGAGAGATACATGTGTCCGTGCGGCGTCTTTCGATAGGCATGAAAAGCGTCTCGGAGCTCGTACAAGTACTTGTGCGCGATCGATGCTGCGTCCATGCGATGGACCACGACGGCAACAATCACCGCACCGTCGACCTGGTACCTAACAAGAGCGGATGAGCTTGGAGACGCCGCCACGAACTCGTCGTACTGCAAGCCAAACGGTGTATCGAGCACGGCGCCCGATGCAGTGGGCTTGGTGTGGGCGAGGATGTCATGGGCCTACAATAGTAGTATCTGCATAAGGTTGAGGCGAAGCGGATCCAAACCTTCTTCAGCAGCCGTTGGACAGCCTTGCCGTGGCCTACGACCGCACGGGCCTAGGTTGCGATATGAAATCCTTGTAAAGTGTGCGCGTTGTCGTCATACCAGCAAACGCTGGTCGCGCACACGCGTCAAGCACGATGCGCGGATCATGATCAATTTGAAAATGACGATCGCACTCGACAATGATTATCCGGATATCCGGATATAAAGAATTCCTTCACGACTTGATGCAAGCGCGTCTAGCCCGAGGCCGGGGGAAACACGCACAAATCGGTCGAACGGTGAGGACCTGCAGCCTCGCTGAAGAGATCGTACACTATTCGTATGGCGTATTGGACAAGAAGATGACGATCGTTTAAGACCGACATTTCTCGTCTTCTATACTCTGCGTTCTAGCTTGGCGCCGACAAAAAGACGCCTCGATGATCCCCGCACCGCTGCGTACAGGCGTGGCCCGGTGCGCGAGCGAGTGAAGTAAAAGAAGACTATTTTGTATCTAATAAGACATTGAAACACGAAATAGCACATACTACATTCGTGTCAAAACAAACTGGCTACGTGAAGAACTCTTCCACGATGCGATTATACGCGTATACGAGGTAGTAGATGTTTAGAACGGCGAGAAAAGCAATCGGAATCACGTCTTCCCATCGGTACTAATACAAGGCAGGTATAATAGCATCCTTGTGGACAGTTTGGCCACGTACTCGGACGCGTAAAGTGCTGTTTGGAACGACTACGGGGCGGGATCGGCTTGATCGTCCTCCTTCGTACGCTCTGAATCGGTCGTCACTAGACTCGCAAACCCAAGCAGCTGTGAGTCAAGAGCAGCTTTTAAAAGGTTTGTCGCGACGTACTGGTAATTGGCCACTGGAATGCGCACAGGTGGGAAATCATGGCATCCGGAAATCCGGATGCGAGTGTGCAGCACGCTGGCGCGCTGCCACGCACCTTGGAGTCAGGTGCCCTTTTGCAATTCGTTGTTAAGTGCTAGCGTTCGAGACTAGAGTACTAGAGTAGGGCACTGTACGCTGCGGGATCATTGGCACCCTCATACTATTTAGTTTGACGTCTCCACATCCAAGACGAGTTCTGTTCGCGTTGGAGTTGCGATCGTTTGTTGAGCGGATTGTACGTAGGAGGTACTACCATGTAGATTCGATGATTAGATTTTTCTGATGCACACAACGATGGAAAGAATGCAAGCACCATGCTCCATGGAAACGTCTGGTGATGAATAACGCGCGCTACATCCAAAAACGTCGGCGTCATGAGGGCGGCAGCGGGAGCCCTGAGAGAGCGTCTCGGCTGCTTGCGCACCAGACACAGGCAAGTGCTACCTTCGACGAACGCCAAAACAATGCAAAACGTTCTTCTCGACAATAAATCTTTGTGACAATTTCCGCGTGAACCGTATGAATGACGTGGCACGCTCTGAAGCGTTTATTGAAACGCTCCCAACTTCAACTCGATACCTTCGAGCTGGTCGCGGAAGAGACACAAAATGGTCGAGGAGGAAATCACCGCCGCTCAAAAGAAGAGAGATATACGTGCATTCTATGAAACCCTCTGCCGCATTCTTCAAGCCCATCGAACGGCTTCGAGTTATTCGGGACCTTGACCACATAATGTTTGGGCGATGGACCGCGTCCATAGCGTCCTCGCAATCCTGCGCGGGTGCAACCAATACGTGACAGGATGTGTGGACGAGCCTCAAAGTACGAGTGGTCGTCGCCAAGGTCCTCATAAAAGCTGCACGCGGTGGGCGTGGGATGCATTCCGGGCATTGCTCACGCGTGCACGCCTACGACCATGACGCTTTTCCATGTGTGTAGACCGCCTGTATGTACGACACGACGCCTCCATAGCACTTGGCCCTCGGGCAGCCAAACAGAGATATCTTCCGTTCCAAGCACGGTCCTCCTGGGGTTAACAGTCCCGCTGAAAAATGGAAAAAAAACACCTCACCCAACCTTCGCCACGATTGTTGCCAGTTCGAATCCGATCCTCGCCACATTTGAAAGTAAGCCTTCCGATGCATCTGATTTTCATGGTGCAGTAGATTTGTGCCAGGCCATCATCCCAAGGCAGCAACATGATTCGGGCCTCGGACCAAGAGCCAAATCCACATCCAGCGTCGGCGCCTCTGCCAATCACGACGGCCCATTTGCCGGTACTGCTGACGAGCCCATCATCATGTTTTCGCAAGCAGCCCTGGCGCAGACTCCAACAAGATCATTCGCGGCTTCGGCCATCTTCTATATTGAAAAAAAAGCCGATCGCGAAACGCTCTGTCCCTTCTGCGTCGCTTCAACGGCCCGGCCAACCGCCGCTTCGACTCCGCAGTAGCAGCAACTCTTGACGCTCGGCCCAGTATCTTTGCCGCACCCATCATCCCACCTTCGATCGGACCGACCGTACCTGGCCACTTCACGCAACAGCACACGAGCACGATGACGGACGGCCTGCCTTCGACGCTCGAAGCCATCGACGTGCGAGCCAACGTCGCCGCCAAGGCTGGCAACGTCTACGCCCAGTACACGGTCGTCATCACGTGCCCGTTCACGCAGGCGCGCTGGTCGTGCCGCAAGCGCTACTCGGCCTTTTGGCAGCTGCGCGAGACCTTCCGCGTCATCCACGCCCACGCGCCGGCGTCGCCGCTTGCACCGCTGCTCCACGCGCTCCTCGCGACACCATTTCCGTCCAAGCACCTCACGCCGACGCGCGCCCGCGTCATGGGCGAGCGCGCCATGTTGTTTCAGAACTTTCTCCTGCAGCTGCTCCACCTGCGCAACGCATGCTGGGTCAACCTCGCGGCGTCGCCGTCGCTGGCGCTGCCCGCCGCACGCTACGTGGCCTTGATCGCCGACTTTTTGGGCATCTACGACGTCCCGATGCTCGAGATCCGGCCGACGACACGCGCCATCCTCGACGAGGCATGTGCCATCTGCCTCGACTCCATGCACGCGACCGACCTCGTCGACGGCCGCCACGTGGTCCAGCTCCCGTGCCGCCACGTCTACCACCAGCGCTGCGTCGGCCAGTGGCTGCGCACGAAGCGAACCTGCCCCCTCTGCCGCGACCCGACGACCCAGATCACGGGCCTTCTCTTGGCATGAGGCAGCAATCTGGCAATCCTGGATACAAGAATGTCTTTTTTGGTGTCGACGGTGTTAAGGTTGGTGCGTCGGAGGAAGAGTGATGAGGCTGCGTTCAGTTCGCACCGACGACATGTATATAGATTGCATCGACGCCGCCAGTCGGCCGTCCAACTGGCCGTCGGCTCGTTACGTCCCGCCGCTTTGGTCGCTCGGGACCAAGTGCAAAGTCGGCTGCCTAGTCAGTCGACGAGTCGGTCTTGCCAAGCATGGACTGGATACTATCGCATTGCTGGTGCCAAAATCGTTGGCGTCGCCATGGCCTGGCGTCCACGCCGGTCTTTCCTGCGCTTCGACAGCACCGGACAGGTGCGTTGAACCTCCTGAAGATGCTCGTCGTATTATCCACAGCTACCGGTATTACCCTCATCAGTAGCTCGCATGATTGACGCGCCATCCTCCAAAAGGAACAGGCGAAGGTGCGCATGACGAGGCAGCACTGCAGCCCTGCCTCGATGCGCCAGGTGGCTGGAGCCAAGCAAGCACGTGGCAGCCCGTCGCCACGACGACGCCTCGCAGTGGGATGTAGGTCGGTCTCTGCCTTCGTGCCTCGGGGCGTCGTCTGCACGAGGTCGACGCACGCGATGATGCGACGACGGCTTTCATTGATCGCAATCATAGTATCTACATGCAGCTTACGCACGGGTAAAGTGGCCGTCCGTGTTGCCAATGACGTTGGCCTTCTCGACCTTGAGCGCATGCTCCATGCGGTCGACCGACGCGACAATGACCTGCGCGTTCTTCATGGCGGCCGCGACCGACGCAACGAGGAAGCCGGCCGGAACCTCGGACATGGCGACCTTGTCGTTCGACGTCAACTTGAGCCTACATGGGATCGACGGTGTCAACGCAAATGCATTCGTTCAAGGAGGCACGTACGAAGACGCCAACTCTTGGGCCTTCTTGAGGATATCGCCGTGCGTGAGGAGCGTGCCACGCGTCGGCTGCTGGCCGTTGTTGCCTACGCAAGAGAGGTGTTGTGAGCCGCTGGAAGCGTCGCCATGAACGCGTACTCGAGTACGGGATGACGGCGGCGGTCGATGCGTCGACCTGGCTGCGGCGGCCCGCAACGACGTGGCGCTCGAGCGCGTTGACAAGGATGTGCTGGAACTGCAAGACGCCGTCCGTCGGGTCGATCGAGGTCGTGATGAGCGTGTGCAGGGGGCTCTTGCGGTCCTGCTGCTCGTAGACCTTAAGCGCGACCGACGCGTGGTCGCGGCGCTCAATCTTGTTCTCGTACATGAGCGCGGTCGCCTTCGAGTCCTTGAGCACATACGCGAGCTCGTCGGCGGTCGCAATCGAGCGGTCGATCGACGCGACCGTCAAGCCGACCTTGGCCGCCGCAAACTGCGCGAGCACGTGCTCGAGGTTGTTGGGCAGCCAGAGCGCGATCGTGTCGCCGTGCTTGAGCTGCAGGTCGATGAAGCCGCTCGCGAGCTCGTCGACGTACTTGTTGAGCTCGACATAGCTCATGCGGAGGTCCGCGTCGCGCT